TCTGGTGTTCTGAAAAAACAAATTTCTGAATCGAGCTAACCCATCATAAACACCCAATTCTTTAATTATCTACAGGATAAAAATAAGTAAAGTCCGAGTTAAATGATAAGTGAATCGCACATACAAATTATTGTTGCAGAAGTAACCACAATGTTCTGCAGCAGGTCGGAGCTCTGGAGCCCCGCATGCGAGGGGAAATGACTCAACCTAGAGCTGAGGGCAGGAGCCCGGACGTGGGCTCCCAACCTCAGAGTCGCATGGCTTTTGTTTCATTTGGTGCCTCGGCATCAGAAAACTGCTCCAGCAGGTGCCAGAGTTTCCACTTTGAAACACCCAATCCCAAGCACTTCCTTCTGATTGTGGGTTCTAACGGGAGGCTGTGGCGGCTGCGTCTACTGCCGCAGCCGTCCGAAGGCCCGCTCAGGTAAGTGACAGCCTCCGTGTGACAGATGGCTCCGCTGTGACTTGACTTAACGCAGCTGCCCGAGGAGAGGAAGAGAAACAGGAAGTAGCTAATGCACTCGGATTATCTTGCACAACACGGCGTGTCACTTTTAAAAGAGCAATTTACTCCGACTTTTAAACAAATGAACTCCTTCCTTCTTCATCGTTAGTTGCTTTCTCCAGTCAGTATTTATTCTTCTCCACTGCAGTCATATGACGCCAACAGAGTCCATTCCCTCTGAGCCCGTCACTCAAAGTGACACTCTCAGCACCTGGCCCTTTTTCTAACACTGGTGCCGTGAGTTCCTTTTGAATGTCTGTGTCGATCAAATCCGAGGCTAACCATGGTGGCAAAGGGCTCTGCACGGTGTCCCAGGCACACTGGCCAGCACAGTCCCCACTCATGCTTGGAGGATTGGCAAGGGACTATATTTTAAGTAGCATTTATGTTGTTTTCTGAAAGACTTCTATCTGTGTTCCATGCATGTTGATCTGTCTCTGTGGCTCCAAACAGAGTGTCACCCCTGCGACAGTCCTTCGTCAGTCCTTGGTACATACATGCCTGCCTTGTAACCGCCTCCACGTCCCTCCACAGTTGGGACTTCATTGCTTTACAGTAGTTCATTGGTACAGGTCCTATAATTTTATACAAAATAAACCTGGGTTTGAATCCCAGGGCTATCTTTTACAAGCTGTAGAATTTCAAGCAACTTAACTCTCTGAACCTCAATTTTTCCATCTGTATAATGGGTATAACACAGTCCGCTCCACAGGGCTGGCGTGGAAATGGAACGGCACTGCACCCATCACAAGCATGGCGTAATGTACCAAGACTTTGCAAACCCTCCAAATTTCTAACTATTGTAATGAATATTGCATTTTCAATACATAATATGGTCCTCAGGTTCATACTAGGTATTTCATAAATTTTTAAAAGCTAGATGAAAGAAGATATTTTAATAAATAAGGGCCAATTTCCGTTGCCTTGCACGTGGATGATCCATTTTAGGTATCAGTACAAAGAATTTATTTAAAACTGAGATTTATGAGTAAGAAAAGCAATGGTCATATTCTTCTAAAATTGTGAGAATTATTAGTACACTCACTTTAGGAACAACTTGGTATTTTAACACTGACAGGCCGGTGCGGATACGTGACGTAGGGAGAGAAGAAATTAAAATATAAAAGTTTTTTTTTCTTCACTGGGGTCTAAGTAACTCTGTTTCTGGCCCCCCAGTGTAAGAGAGCAGGCATTTCATTTTGCCAACTTTGCTTCACTTTCCCTTTAGACAGTAACAGAGGAACAAGTAGGAACGAAGCAAAAGTGCCTTCGCTTGTGCCGCACGCCCTACACAGACGGAACAGTGACACCCTGCCCATACTGGGGTGTCGGCAGCACGCACACTTCCACGTGACCGGGTTCCGTTCTTTCGGTCGGGGTTCCCCGGAAACGCTCTCACCTTCGTGTTGTTGTGGCCTCGCTCCCTGCGGCGTCCTGACCCCTAGCCTTGGACTTCTTTCCAGAAACCCGCCTTGCAGCAGCCACCAAGCAAAGACGAAATTTCAGGTTTCCATTTTTTTAAAAAAATGCAAAGCAGCGATCCGTTCTGAACATAATTATTGGGGCCACACTGAGAGTTAGAGTTTTTTTTTAACGAAGGTAAGCCAGTATAAAGTGGATGTTTATTGGGAAGGAAAAGGGCGCAGTTTAGAAATTTGAGAGTAAGGGAGTATGAGCGTTTCGTGAAGCAGTGGTTTTTCATGACACTAAAGATTTACCCAGAGGAAACTTGTCAGGGATTTTATTTTTTTGGTGAGTTCCGCTGCAGGCTGGGGCCTGACTGCAGAGCGGTGCAGAGCAGCCGGCCCGCAGACCGCCGTCGGCGTGCAGCTTTGGCCTTCCCGGACCCACACGCGGTCCGCGGGTCTCACGCTCCTTCCGTGTCGCGTCGGGGATGAAGGCTGGTTCTGCCACAGCCTCTGGTCTCCTTCTGAACCATTGTAGAAGAAGAAGGAAGAAGATAAATAAAAAGAATAAACAATAAAACCAGAGGTCAGGCAACGAAGCCACCTTGCCTGTCACATAAGTAGAAAGGGAAGAGGTTTTGAAGCCGTTAGCAGCCGGCCTCAGAGCCCAGGCCCTCGGGGTCCAGGAACGTGCTGCTGTAGGGGTCTCGGCCACTCAGGGAACATGATCTCAGCAATAAGGGACTCAGCCTGCTCGTGTGCAAGTCCAGGTACTGGAATACCGAGGGTAAAAGGAATCGTGGGGAACAAAACCAAACAGGAACACCCCAAGAACCAAGAGCCCTATGACGACCGCCGTGAGAAGAGGCCCTGGCAAACCCCGCCCACCTGACCTCCTCTGCTGCATTCTGGCAGCGATCTGGGCTCACACATAGGAACGCGGGAAAGAGATCACTGACTTTATTCTGAAGTGCACACGTGCTTAGGTACTTAGGGAAAATCTCCTCTGTCAAAAGTCTTCAAAGAAGCATCGTCCCTTCCTCCCGAGAAAAAGCACCTGACTCGGTTTGAAGCATTGACCTTGCCAACGAAACGCCGAGCCGGAGAAGTGGGAAGGAGCACGGTTAGATCTCAGCCACGTTGGTCCCGCCGGCTGCTCCCCGGGGATGAGCACGTGGGGGCTCAATCAGAAGCCGCTCAGCAGCCAGGCCTCCTTCAGACGGTGGGGTTCCACCAGGACTTGTCGCCCTGACACCCAGTGACTGACGATGACAAGTGCTGCATTGCAAGCCAGACGTGCGTGCGGTGCCTTCTCGAACTCCCGTTGAGCCTCTCACTTGCTTGCCACGCTTGTTTCTTCGCTAGCACTGAGCCACCAACCGCTGGTGCCCTGGGCCCACTTACTGGGGAAAGGAAACGGCAGCGTCTCCCGTCTGTCTGGGCAAAACGCCGACGGAGGGGGCTGTGGGCAGAAGGGGCCCACGTGGCGGTCGTCACGCCCAGGGCAGGAGCCGTCCCGTCTCTGGTGCTGGGGGGCTGCCTAGACTGTCACGGCATTTCTGACTCCTGCTTTCCTAACCAAGCTCCTGGACCTCTGATGTATTCAAAAGATTGCTCACAGCATTTAAATAAAAGTGGGGGCTTCACGACAAAGAGGACAAGTTCTACGCACAGTGGAAGTCAATGATGATATATGTAAAGCATAATTGGAGGGTTGTATCTGTTTTCTGTGCCTGCTTTCACAATTTGTAACAACTTCAGTGACTTAAAATGGCACAGATGTATTATCTCCTCACTCTGCAGGTCAGAGGGCAGGACGGACCTCACGGGCCGGGGCGCGGGGGGCAGGAAACAGAACAAGGGTCAGCAGGCTGTTTTCCTTTCTGGAGGGTCTAGGGGAGGGTTCCTCTCAGAGTCCCTGGGGCTTGGGGCAGAATTCAGCTTTTTGGGCCAAGGCCTCCATTCTGCTGCTGGCTCTATACGGAGGGCCATTCCCACCTTCTAGAACCCAGCACATTCTCTGGCTCATCACCGTCTCCTTCGGCCTCCACGGGCAGCAACAGCCCCCACGTGGCGCCTCTCCGACCCACACTGCCGACTCTCCCTTCCTCCGTGACACACTCACGGGACTGGACTGGTTCCACCCGGACAGAAGTACCTCCCTCTCGGGCTCCTCCACTGTAATCACGGCGGCGAGGCCCCTTCTCCCCGGGAAGGTGGCGGGTCCCCAGGTTCCGGGGGTGGGGGCGTGCACAGCTCTGGGGGTCTGTGGTCACGCCTGCCACGGCCAGGGCTGCTTCCAGAGCACGACGCGTTTCTAAAATGCCTTTGCTTGTTTCAGACCCGAGACCAGGAGCCACCGAGCTTACCGGAAACTCAGTTTCCTGGTCTGTGAAAGGAATACGGGAGGGCATGTCCCAGGCATTGTGGCAAACACTAAACACAGTTGGGAGTATAAACAGCACTTAGCGCTCCAAACCTCTCAATGTGTTGTAAATGCAAACCCCCTAGTCACTGCCACGAGTCCACCAGAAGAGATTTATTCCTCTTGCTTCGTTCTCTGTTGAACTGTTTATGTCACAAACAATCACTGACCATGGGATAGCATTCTCGAGGGCAGGGGACACAGGAAGTGACTATGAGTGAAAAGGAGTTGAGCGGACAAAGCCTAGAAATGGGGTTGTAAACAGGGAGATGCGGAGTCCTGAGTACCAGGGTATAGTCTAGAGGTGGGGGTAGCTTTGGTGGAATGGCTTCTTGGCTTTATAGAATAGCCCCCCCCACACACACACACAAACCCAGGGAGAGGCAAGGCTGAAGGATACCCAGAGCAAGGCCCAGAGTAGGGGTCCCTCTTACTCAGGTCTGGGAATGATACCAGCCTCATTCCGATGGCTGAGAAGGTCACAGCTGACTTCCATGAGGCCCTGCCCATGGGGATACTGCTGCAGGTGTGGGGACAGCTGCTCTGCCCGAGAGAGAGGACAGAGCCGCTCCGTCAACATGTCCAGCTGGACCTTAGTAACAGGTAGTACATTTTCCCAGCACTGATGTGTAACAGTTAACCTATGCCACTGCTTTCTTGGTAGATGGGCTGGAGACTTTTACGAGGTTTCTTAAAACCGAATTCAGCGAGGAAAACATTGAGTTTTGGAAGGCCTGCGAGGACTTCAAGAAAAGCAAAGACCCTCAGCAAATTCTCTTTAAAGCACAAGCAATATATGAGAAATTTATCCAGACTGATGCGCCGCAAGAGGTAAAGATGACTGGGAAAACGTATGGGTGTTTGAAGAGTGTCTGAAAAATGTTTGAAAGAATCAAATCGGTACCTCCATCCATCCCACCAGGAAGGCTAGGGTTTTGCTGAAGCAAACTGGGCATTGACAGATTTGTCCGTGCAGGCGGAGTGTGGTCTGAGATATGGCCGAGGAGAAAAGGCATAATGAAGTCGCTCCTCGGGGTTACTTCTGTTCTAGACTAAGAGTGAATGTGGTCGCCTGCAGCAGTTAGATCCAGTTATCCTTATCCACATCCGTCGCCCCAGCAGGGCGAACTGTCACGGGAGCTGCAGACCTCGGCAAGCGCTGAAGGGAAGAGAGCTCGGGAAGTGTGCCTCACACACCCCCTTACCATTAGCTCACCCACCCGGACAAACCTCCGTTTGCCCTGACGTGGTTGTTCTTCAAGAGAGGCTAAAAAGATGCAAATAGAGGCATGCGGGAAAGGTAATTTGGCAGCGGCTCAAGCAGAAACACAAATGCGATCGTCTCTGGCCGCAGGCGGCCTCGGTGTGAGGTCATCGTGTGATCCAGTCGCTGGAATGGCTATAAAACGGGCAAACGTTACCTGCCCTCCCATGGGAACTCAACAGAGTGTCTGCATTTCTACTATGTGTTCCACAAATAGTGTTTCCTCGCCGGAGGGGTAACCTGGGAGCCTGGCCTGTTAAGGGTTCTGCTCGGCTCCGTATTAGTATCGTCCACGAGGTAACATCGTCTGTGTGGATATCGGTCCACGCAAAACGATCGTAGTTCTTGCTGCCGTGTGTTTTGTTCCGTCCCGCCATTCGGCGTGTTATTCTGCTGTTTCCAATGCCCACCTTATCCTCAGGCCAAAGAACAAGTCAGCTAATTGTATGGGGTTGCCCAGGAGGGGAAAAGAAAGACCCCCCCCCACACACACACCTGAAAGGCCCCGCCATCGGAGCCAGATATATATATATATATATATATATATATATATATATATATATATATATATATCAGCAGGGCTTGGATAAAAAGCATTAACGGATCTTACACCTTTCAACTATGTTCCTTTCAGCACAATTTTGCCCGCAGAAAAGTATAAGATAAGGAAGAAAGTGCTGGGATACAACAGCAGCCCCGCCCTCAGGTCCCAAAGAGGCCCCCCACTCCCTGTCTGCCATCACTGACCGTTACTTGGCGCATGATTGCAAAGGAGCTGAGCCCGGCGATCCCTGAGACACTAGCGGGCACGGCAGCCCCTTCCTCCGCACTAGCAGAGTGAGAAGGGCTGGCAGCAGGGGGAGACCACAGCCGCGTGGGATGCCGGCCCGCAGTCGCTCATCTGACCCCCAGACCCGCGACAGGGGACCACCCCCTCGCCAAAGCTCGGTGCCCACTCCAATGCTGAATAAATAGTCTTGTGCTGTTTCTCAGCGATGTTTACCTCCGCAGACTGACCACAATTACATTTTTTTTTAATTATCCAGGTTAACCTTGACTTTCACACCAAAGAACTCATCACCCAGAGCATCGCACAACCCACCCTCCGCAGTTTCGACGCTGCGCAGAGCCGGGTGTATCAGCTCATGGAACAGGACAGTTACAAACGCTTCCTGAAGTCTGACATCTACGTGGACTTGGTGGAAGGCAGGCCTCCCAGACCGAGCAACCTGAGAAGGCGGTCCCGCTCCTTCACCTACAATGAGTTCCAGGACGTGAAGTCGGGCGTCTCCATTTGGCTGTAAGGGAGGCTAATTTGGCTCATGCGGGCTGCGAGCTTGTGTATCTGCTCCTAAGACGTGGCGTGCGTTAGTAAACGGGCCCGTCCTTTAGAAAGAAACACATCGTGTGAAGGGATCTTAGGAGGGTGGATCAAAACTTTTCCTCTAACGATACGAACTGCACTGGCCAATTTGCTCTGTAACCCCTTTCATTAGACTCCATTCCCTTCGTAATCCAAAAAGTCAATGCTAACAGACACTGATGAATAAATATAACCCAAAAGGAATATATATGGTACCTTAAATTATGAAGTACATTCACTGAAAGATCAATACATAGACAAAAATTTGTATCGGTATTATTCTTAAGCCTGTCTATTGCAAAATACAATAAATATATTCTCTAAAAAAAGTCACATAATCATGAAGAAAATGAGAACTTTGCGATTGAGTCTATTAATTTATTTTTCGCTAGCCAATTTAGGACATATTTCATTCTTTTCTAGTTTTTGTTTGTTTTCTTGTCCAAGTGAATGTTTGCAAAGAATTTTAAGTAACAGAAGTTTTCAGGATGTTATACCCACACATAGATATATATCAACAGTTTGATTTTTAAGAGATAAATAATAATCCTAATTATTCTTAAGTTGACTAAATAAGTGTAATTTCTCTACCACACTACACTGTTTCTCCCTCATTAAGAAAAATCCTTAGGCAAATGTTGTAGGTGTGATAAAAAGATAATAGTTATACTTTACAGAAGATGCTGATTAGAAAATTAGTGTGACAAACAACAGGTAAAAAGTGACTGGAGACAAATAAAATCAATAAAATAACTACACACTGTTTTAAAAGTCATGTGAGAAGCATTTTTAATCCCTGAACACTGAAACTACTATTGATTGTGTTCATTCCAGCAACTATAAGAACCTGCCTAAAAAAGGAAAATACATCATTGAATCTTCACTTTCTCATTTTTCACACAGAATCTCTGAAGCTTTTAGAAACTCAGGCATAACTTAAACTGGGCCTCCATTTTTTTTAAATACCCAAGTCAGGGAACATGTCTCTAAAGGCAGAGTCACATAATTATCACAGCAAAATAATGTGCTAGTGTCTACTAGGTAGCAGGATTCTCTTCTACTAAAACACAGCCTCAGGTGAGTATGTCAAACACACCAACCTCTCCAAGTCATCTCATTGATGTTGCCAGAAATTAAACCTTAAATCAGAACTTCATCTGAAAGCAGGTTATTTCCTTCAAATTTATTTTTGCTGATATTGTCAATATGCATAGTGCACAGACCCATGCATACACATAATTGTTGATAGAAATGCAAACTACATTTTAGAAACAATTGTTTTAGATCTTACTTTATTCATAAAATGCTAAAGATACTATAATTTAATTGGTAATATTTGGAGCAATAAAAATTCAGATGATTTTATTTTGCAGAAAAAATGAGCTACGTATATTGGCATGGTATCTGAACTTGTTACCCATCATTTCAGTCATAGGTACACATATAAATGTACACAATTCCAGACTTCCAGATTTTTGGAAGGACTGAGATACTTAATAATTAGCTTTATAGTAAAATTGCATATTTAATTCAATTTGTACTCAATATTTAAATACTAAGTTTAGAAAGTTCTGTCTGGCTTTTATATTGAAGATATATATTACGTGTTGAATGCATGCATCTCTTAAATTCATTTTTAAGTACAAGCTACCTTAATTTTTAGATATTTACTTGGATCATTTTTAAAAGATTTAATTGGAGCTGTTGGTTTATCCCTTTGTTTTACAAAAACCCTCATTGCTTCTTCTTAATGCTCTCTAATTGCGTCCAGGGTTTTAATGCACCTATAAAATAAATGCAGGAATGACTAACACTGGCTAAAATTAAAATGATAAGAAGCAAACATTAAAATTGATCACAGAGGTCAACTTTTGTCTTCCACGTTTTAAGGCTGAGTCTGGCAAAAATATAAATGCTTATATTTAAGGCTGAGTCTGGCAAAAATATAAATGGTTATTTGCTCAGCTCTCTTCAAAAGATAAGTGATGGTTCAGATCAGACTTTAACAAGAAAAAAAAGAAAAAATTAATGTATCAAATGTAACACCACAATGATAAATTAGCAGGTTTTTGATGCCTTTAAAAAGTTTCTAGTTATGCTACACAAAATAAAAGAGCACTAAAGATCATGCCAAAATAAGTGGATCACACAGGAAGAAATGTAGCCTTTCGCAGAAATGGGGGTGGGGCGGGGGGGGGAGTGGTGTGCGGGGCAGGGGAAAACCAGGGAATTAATCCCTATGAAAACTCCCTCTAATAGGAAAGAAGTTTGTACATATGCTAATATCTTCTTTGTAACTGAATTATAGACTTCATTCAACCATTATTGACTCTGTTTGTAGTTTTTATTTTACAAGCTCTGAACAAACTTGTCAAGTTTTCATGTCAAGAAACTTGACAAGTTTACTACTTCGCATGTTATTATTCTTTTTTCTGCCTCTTTTAAAATTAAAATTCCTGAAAAATCCTTTGAGTCTCATGTGATTTTACAGATGGGATTATTTTCTCTCTCTGGCCCTGGCTTCCTAAACTAAATAATAGTTTATTGAGATTATTCTATAAATTTTCTCTTTAAACCTGACTCACATACAAAACTATTCCTGAGTGCAAAAATAAACATGGATGCTTCCATTTTTTTTATTTCCTGCATACCACTCCATGCAAAAACACTTTAATATGAAAATCGAATCAGGAATGTTTACAAAGAGGAAGTAAAATCCCTATAATGTGCCTTCACAGTTTTGAAAGTAAGACGCAGCCCTGGCTGGCACAGCTCAGTGGATTGAGCGCAGGCTGCAAACCAAAGTGTCGCAGGTTCAATTCCCAGCCAGGGTACATGCCTGGGTTGCAGGCCATAACCCCCAGCAACCACACATTGATGTCTGTCTGTCTGTCTGTCTGTCTCTCTCTCTCTATCTCCCTCCCTTCCCTCTCTAAAAATAAATAAATAAAATCTTGAAAGAAAGAAAGAAAGAAATTAAGAAAGAAAGAAAGAAAGAAAGACGCTGTGTTAGTTTAAAACACACGGCGCATGGGAAGTCCCGAGCCCTCCTTCTTCGGCAGGCGAGGCCTCGCTACCATGCAGGCGGCATCGGGAGGCCCCAGGAACTTCGGGAGGCAGCTGAGATTTTGCAAACGATTTTGCAAACAGACAACACGCAACCTGTAGTTCTGTTTTCCTGAGAAGTCACCGGAGGTTTAGAACTACCCTAACGCACTCTCAGTGATAAAAAATAATTTACTATTTGTAACTACAGGCAAAAATATCTTTTTCTGTGTCTAGGTATTTAAAACTTTTGTTCATTTGTTTCTCAGTATGCAAGTGTGTTACTGGAAGTCCAGACTGAGGATACTGGGTTATTTACAAAATCAAGTCTCTTTTTCTCAATATGTGTTACACCAATTTCAAGCAGCCTAAGGAAAATGTCAACTATGCCAGTGTTTGGCATAAAAAGCACCGTCAAATCCTGATAATATTAGAGCTAATTGTTGCAGATACTTTTTTTCTGCTGTATGCCAACATTTTAAACAGCACCATTTCCTTCTCATCCTGAGCAAACAAACTACTTTAACATTGTGATTCTTTTTTTACTAATTACCTAGATTTTGCTTTCATTATGTAATAGGGCTGATGACTCAAAATGCCAATGGCTCCTCTTACACCTGAACAGTGTGGAGGAGACATTTTTCTGAAAAGAGACATTCCCGCAGCAGGTTCGTTCCACAATTTAATTTCTTTCCGCGAGGTAAAGGTCATGGTGAGGCTATAAGAGTGTTCATTTGCATGAGGAACGCACGTGGAATATGAAAATAATGTAGCATAAAATATTCATAATTCAAGCTTTTAAAACCAGCCCTGGGGCTAAGAAGGCCATTCTAGGAAATGGTTCGACAATCACAGCAAACTTTTCTCGACGATGCCAGCTAACATGCGCCCACTCCCAGGGACAGAAGCAGACAGTCCTGTGGGGTCCCGAGCTGCAGGGCGAGGCTGACCTGTGTCGTGCCTCCTTCCTGAGCACTCGGGCCTTGCAACATGTGTTTCGATGCCCCGTTCGTCAGCCACGGACACGGCTGTGTGTGCGGTCCCGCCAACCCCGTCCTGTGGCTCAGGCGCAGGTCAGATTTGGGCTGATGATCTCTTTGTGTCTCCGTGTTTTTCAGTGACGACAACTGACACTCAGTGCGTGGCTGGCCACGTCCCGTGTTTACTTACCTGAGCAGGACTGGAGTTGCGTTCTTATTCACGATAGTGAGGCAGACACCTGTTGGTCTGCTTCTCTGAAAACCGACTTATTTCAGTACGAGTGCCAGGGAGCCACGGTCTCTCAGGGTCAGTCTAGTGACTCCATCCCCGTTCCCTTCAAGTGAGAAAAACAATTCTCGGTGTTTCTTGATTGCGAAGTCTGGTTTTCTGCAACCCTCGTGTGCATGTACAAGCCCTTCTTGGCATTTTACGAAGGATCCTCTAAAGTATTCATTCGGAGACGGGGTCCTGTTTCTTGGCTGATCTGAACTGTGGTGACGCCTAAAACAAGGACACGGCATGGCTCACACGTGCCCCTGCGGGTTCCTCCGTGCAGCGCCTGGCTCCTGGTGTTGGGGCGCTCACAAGGCCTGTTTGCCTCCCTCTCTCCTTCCACGGCCACCTCCACGCGCTCCAGCTGCCCTGACGCAGAGTCCGGATTCCCAGCCGTTTACTGGGCTCTGTGGTCTCTGCCTAGATGACAGCAAGTGTGTTGGGGTGGGGCAGGGGGCAGTCTGTACTTGGGGTCGGGGAACATGGTGCTAAGAGACAGGGAGCAGACACAATCCTGTGGCTGGAGAGGACAGGGCCCACATCCCCTTTGGAAGAGTCAAAAATCAGGCTTGGGAAAAAGAAAAGCACCTTCTACACGATTTCCATTAGCCCAGTTCCCATGGGCTCCAAGTCAGGTTATGCCGCTGAAAACGCAGGCTGAAAGCTTCTCATCCATGCCCTTCTTTCCCAAACGCTGGATGCCGGAGCCCTCACCCAGTGCGGTTTGCTTCTGTGTCAGTGACATTATCCAGTATTATCCAACATTACCAACGAGCGCCACGGCACACAAGTGAACGTCTGGTCACCCTGAACCGGAAGTTCTCTCCAGGTTGGTTGTGCCCTCCCCCGGGGAGACACTAGCCTCAGCAGCAACAGAGCGAGTGGAGTGAATGCACGTATTCATGTCCTTGTGGTTTTATATATACCATTGTCTTGTCTGGTAATATTCGTTAGCAATCCAATGAATGGCTACAATTACTGAGGGTATAGTACATGTGAAGCTTAGTATTCTACATTGCCACTTACCAGCGTTTTGACACTGACAATTTAAT